AAATAGGGTGAATACATCTCATTACACTGATTTACTGGTAGTCTCGAAACCCTACTTGCATACGAATATATCGAACTTGGTGTGTCTGTAGAGGCCTTAGTTATAATTCTTTATGTATCAAAATCAGCTAACGCGCAGCTTCTCTTCATTCTTCAAAAACAAATAAAACTAATTCGCTTCTAGGCCAACCTTTTGGCTGACGGGAGAAACCATCAACTGTTATGGCCACTTTGCAAGCAAGCATCATCGGGTAAGGACAGCCATTCTGTATGGTCGGAACTGGAAGTTGCCTATTGCGAGATCGGTAGATTAGTCAGCATAAAGTCAACTATGACTAAGCCCTAGGATGTCATCTAATTTCACTTGTCTTATTTCGACCTCACAAGACCGTCTCATCAGTACTTGGTCGTGAGTCTCTACTACTCTACTAAATAAGCATATTTTAGTGGGATTGTCGATTAAGCAAACATGTATTTTCCAGCATACTCGATGACATTACTTATTTTAGAAGTAAGTAGTCTTCGAAACAGACACGGAGCAATACATCTCACCCAAAGGTGTCTGATCCTAGCGCTGCGTGCCCTAGACTTATTGACACAAAATTCGGTAATTAATCATTTCATTTTGAGGTTTTCAGTAGATCTTGAAGTATATTAAATGTGTTCATCCTATGTCGTTTATGATTATAAAGGAACTGGGAATTAAATTGTCCAACAATCACATGGATAGACATGACGTTCCCATTGAATTTCACATAGCCCTGCTTTCCCAAAATGTGTTCTCATCCAGGCATCAGTAGACTGCAGTTACGACCCCCTCCAGGTCTTATCAACACCCCCAACGTGACTCGAACCATGAAAGTGGAGTGTACAATCTCGACACATTGCCACGAGTTCCCTGCGGTCACAGGGCAATTGTGAATTTGATTGAAGGCCAAGTATTTTCATAGATCACATTCTTTGGTGGGTTTGTCGATGAATCGAAGTAGTATTTGACATAGTAATCGACTATGCTACTTATTTTTTGTTTATAAGTAGGCTTTCGAGAGTACCAGTAGATAGGTGTATTCATCCTATTTCCTTTAGGGTGATCTTAAAATTGTCTCCCTTATCAACGTCAGTCTCATTATAAATATGATTTATTTATAATTAATTTCTTTTCTAGAAAAAAGACAATGATTTAAGCCAAAAGAAATAGATGCCTTAAAACCCAATTTTCCTTGACACACCAGCTGGCGCAGGGCATTCCGACTTTGGCGTCGGGCCAGACAAGGCCGGAAAGCGGACCATGGAGCGGTGGTCGAGGTGAAACGGAGTCATGCCAACCGGTCGGCAGTAAACGCCTCCTCGAGGCGACACGACAGATTTGTGTGTTTGCGCACAACAGCCAGTTTGCCCTTTGACCTTAAACACAGGCCAATCGAGGCCATCAGATCCTCTCGGGCTGGTTGGCATTTTCAGTCCAGCCTGAAATCTTTCCTTGGTCCGAAACTCGAGCAAAGGTCACCTTGGTTGCCAGGCCGGGTCAGCACTGACGACGAGTCAAAGTGTCGGAAGTGGAATGACGCTATATCCGGCATGGACTCGAATACGGTATCGTTCTTGTGAGGGCCGAAAGATTGGCTCACTCGTGAAGAAGCGAGTCAGTGCCGGTCCTTATTTACAGCACCTTTTGTAATGACCGTCGGCCCATTCTGATCACCAATGCCCAAATACAAACCACCCAAAACTGAAAACCAAAAACCGAAAACCAAAAACCGAAAACCAAAAACCGAAAACCGATCACCGACTAACAAGCACCGACAACAAACCGCTCACCACCCCTCACCAACCACCAACCACCAATCGGCAACTCGGGAGCACGCATCGAGTAGCCCAGACCCAGCTGTACAAGCTGGCGATGGCTTCCTGAACTGGCTGCTGTTGCCTTGGCGGCAGCCCAGCTGAGCTGATGCTTGTGGCCGAGGCTGCCGACGCCACTGATTGTCGAGTTGACGACATAGTTGGCCCAAAGTCTCGGCTGATTCTTGAAATGTCTCAATCGGGTAAATCGAATGCCGACAGCAGAAACTATGCTAACAGATGACGGAGGGAAAAACATGTGTTTTACATAGGACTAGAATAGATAGTCACAAGAGCGAAATGCTGGAGTAGAGAAGATGACCAAGAAGACAGAGTTGGGGAGGAGGAATTAAAGAAAATCGGAGATGCAAAAGAGATGTAAGAAAAAGTGTTGACGAGATTATGTAAATACAACAAAGGAGAGAATGAAGGAGCAAGAGTGAGGATATTAGAAGTTTTAAAAAATAGGATATATATATATATATATATATAGAAAGAGAGAGCATGGAAGAAGAGGAAGGAAAGGTAAAATATATAATAATGAGAAGATAAGGAATGAAATAAAAAGGGTTGAAAAAACGAACCTTACGAAGAAGCGGGCTAAGAGGGGGAGAAAAAGAAAAAAAAGAAAAGGAAAAATGTAGAATGATACGGCAAACCATGAAATGAGGTAAATTGCAAACGAGTCAATGAGCAAAGAAGTGAAGAAAGATATGATGCAGGAATAGGTGAGGCATGGGGCAGAGAAGCAGAAGTGGAAGTAGTAAAGGAGTTGAATAGTTCAGCACATAAGAATAGGATGAAGAAAGAGAGTAATATTGTAAAAGAGCACGAGAAAGCACAGAAGAATGTATAGTAAAGGCATGATGGAGTAAAAGAAAAATAAGAGTTAAGTAATTTAGCCGGAAAGGAGTAAACGAGAATGATAGAAATGAGTAGAGGAGTACAGGAGGAAGTGAGGAAGGAAGTAAAGAAGAAGAAGAAGAAGATCAAGGCGTAATGATACAAGAGACGAGAAAGAAAGTAACTGAGAGAGTTGATGGGAAAGTGAGCAAAGGTAGGAAAGGGGTAAAAGTGCAAAGTAATCAGTCGGCAAAGTGTGAAGCAGTTTGTGGGGCATGTTCGGTTGAGGTGGCGCATCAGCCAAAGAGTCGGCAATGCTGCATCCAAATGTCTCACTTTCAAAGTGGCGGCAGTGCCAGAATGAAAAGCTGATGACTTTGGAGTGGAGAAGATGTGCAATTTGCGGAGAAGAGATTGTTGCAGGCATGTCGAGACGGAGTCGGATACCTGAACTGTGGGCCTGTGCCAAAATTTGGTGCATGAGCAAACCGGTTTTCGTCCATCGATGCTCCGATGCCTCTGCACAACATCCAACAGACAAACACATGCACCGGACTGCACATGCACACGCATGCCTGCAAACGGACAACACAAAAGACACACGTGTGCATCTCGCACTGGCACAGCTTCACGCCTGATGGTGTGATGGTGCACAAGTGCGGCTTGTATCAGGTTACTTGGAGACGGTCTGGAGACGGCAGCAACGCTTTGCTGCTCCACATTCCAGAGTTGTGCTGCTTTCGAGCGGGTGTGTGCGTCTCGAAATGAGTGTGTCGCATGTCGCATGTCGCGCAGGCAGGCCGGACCAACAGACGCCATACCAGGCGCAGTGGAAGAGTTCTTCTTCACATGTTCATAAGCTTCGCCACCACCTTGTCAACCCAACAACGCGACGTCGGCAAACGAAAGCTGCGCAAGGGAGGCCAGAGAGACACGACTTTCGTCGCGTCGGTGATATTGTCTCGTCTGTAGACTGGCGGATGAATTGACGGACGCCCGACTGGGTATGTCTATCTACAGATCTGTCGCCCAGTCGGCCCGAGGTCTACAGGTCTCTATGACCGGGTGTGCTCAATTGTCTATTGTCTGTATGTGTGTGTATGTGTGAATGGGCTTGAGATCCGGGTAATGTGAGGCGAGAGGAGCATGAAGGCAGGGCTTGAGGGGGAAACCAACTTTCCGCGCAAACTGGCATTCATGTGGGAGGGTGTGTATTTGTACACGTGTGTGCTTGTATGTGCATGCGTGTGTGTGTGTGTGTGTGTGTGTGTGAGTGTGTGTGTGGTGATTGTCGCGGAGCCACGTCGCGTAGCATCTTGTCTCGGCAAGACGTTCATAGCGGAAAACGGGTGGTTTGAGTAAATATTTGTTCATTTCTTCCTCATGTACGGGTCATATGCGAGTGTGGTAGCCCTGCTGACCCTGTCGGTACTTTGTGTCACCACCACCCCCCACCCCCCTGGCCATGCTTCGACCGCAGGATTGTGGCTGTACCGAGGAAGACGGAGATAGGGTTGATTAGTTGTATAGATTGATCTATGGCTAGTTGCAAAGCAGCAAGGATAAAAAGTCGGAGGGATACACATGTAGAAGGTGAGATAGATAGACACAGATAGATAGATAGATAGATAGATAGATAGATAGATAGATAGATAGATAGATAGATAGATAGATAGATAGATCTAGACAGTTGAATCGATAAATTGATGGATGGGTCTTGGTGCCGCAATCGTGGCAACCTGTGCGGGTAGTGAGCCGGAATTCTATCAACTCGCTCTACCCTCTTCGTCTTCGTCTTCGGTCTAGTCGTCTCAAGCGCTTGTAACTCTTCTAAGGGAACACACACACACAAGCCATTAATGCCTTTTTCCTGCACAATGTGTTCGACGACGAGTTGCTCGGTCGTCTGGCCGACTGAGACTCTGACGTCTGTTGTTGAGCCCCAACGAGTGATGGTGGAGAGGGTGTAGCGAATTAGGGCTCGGTTGCTGAGACTTGGTCTGGCCGATTCGGTGGACTCGAGCAAGCGGCTGGACGCGAACCCACGAAGTTCGAGGCCAGGAGTGAATGCAACGACAGTGATGAAAAGAGGCCAGCCAGTCTGAGGTAGTTTGAGTGGTAGATTGCTTTTTCAAGCCACATCTCTGCGGCAATTTTC